AGCCTAATTAGAAATAGATTTAATATTCAGCTAGTTATACTAGTTTAAAAACTAGAACTTTTAGGAACACTCTTTTTTCATGTCACCCCTCTGTAAGATCAACGGCAAAAGTGGTTTCTGTCGAGAGCGGTTTAGTTACCAAGTCTTTAGGATCAAAGTTAGCGCTATATCTCAAGTCCAGTTAACCAAGTTACTTAAGTGTTTAATAAGTTGTTTATTGATTACTGTCTGCAAAACCCTCTTTTCGTGTGCGATGGTACCCATTGGCTCCAAGCCAGATACATGAGTTGCGAACTCCTGCACAGTAATTCAGCCTAAAAGAAAAAACGCACAATGCTGTAAATTGACACTAACGTGAGCAATTGCCTTAGAAAAATCCAAACGCCTGTCGTTGCGAATTCCATCCGCGTATGAACGCGGAAATACAAGGACTTCACTCGAGGCAGTGAGTAGCCTGTACGGCTCCTTGCCGTAGCGTTTCCTGGCCTCCTCGCATATTCTGGCACCATGCTGCGCAAATTCCAACCTTTTGGATATTACGAGTTGATACCATGCTGGGGGATTGGCTAGAGGTACCTTCGACCTGTTGAAGAAGACTAGAAACGAGACAAGGGCAACGATAGCGAGCGACACAGTAGTGGCTAGTGGTACCGCGTGCTTGATTATATCAAGAGACGGGTCCCATTGCACATTGGGCGTGCGTGAGGAGTGGGGAGCTGACATGTTGGGAAATTGGAAGAACCAACCAACCGGATTGCGACTGGTCTGTATAGTGTTGCGAAGGGCGTCGAGTCTTATAGTAGGAAGACATGTATGGTCTTCTTGCAGTCGAGATTGGACTCTCTGTGTCGGTTTTGGGTCGTCCGGCTTCCGTCCTTATCAATTACGGCTATCGGTATTTCCATCTACCGAAAGGATAGTGAATGTGCTACCGGCAACGACACGATCTATCCTCATCCAATAGGATGTTCAATACCGCATTACCCAAGCCACTAGTCTAGACGATCAAGAAGCGGCCTAATGAAATTTCTTTCAAAACCTCCGAAGGTGGCAAAGAATAGATTCAGTGCGTTTTGGATACCTCCGGGATCATGGTATCATGCCGTTTGTGAGGTTCTGCGAGTCACTGAGCTGACGGTCATGTTTACACATAAAGTTTTCGGCTATCTGATATGATTACTTAGCGCAGCCACTTTTCTCTTGTAAGAATTCGAATATCGACTCTTTGCTTTCGTTTTGTGATTCTCGGGACAGCTAAACAGAGTGGGCTCTCTGGCCTAGTTAGGAATAGCTATGGCATACTACATAGTATAGGGTACATACGCTGTATACGGTATATACGGTATACGGCAACCCAGCCGAGACTTAATATGAGATGAAACAGGGGTCGTCCCGGAACCCTTCTGGTGCCGTTCCGGTGCCGTTCCGGTGCCGCAAAAGCCTCATCTCTACACCATTCCTGCGCACGTATTATGCCCTGCTAATGCTAACAAGGCGGCGAAAGAGCTCTACGTAAACCAGAATGCATTCCCAGCGTTAGTAAAGTCATTTTTCAGTCTACGATCTCGGTAGCCATCTTTAAAATGTAGTAGAGATAGGCTGCAATTCACTTATTTTCCCTCATCCTAAAGATACAGGTATTCAGACAATAATGATCAGCTATGCAATGTACGATTGCAGACATCGTGTACGATTGCCATACTATGCCTTGTCGCCGCTAGAATCCCTCTACTGTATAAGTATACGCCATGCCAAGAAGGAAGGTCCGACCGACTTGGCATCACTGATGACGCCTGTGCGTTCACCAATCGCCAAACAACATCGTCGCCTCTGTGCTGTGGAACTAATACTTTTAGCTAAACTAGAGCAAACGGCTACTCTAACGGTAATAGATACACCATCTCAATAGTAACAATAATTTACATGTACACCTCACATTAACAACAATGTGGTCGCAAACTAAGCAAAAGACCATTGTAGAGAATTAATTAACGAGTCTGTACTTGTATAAATATGGACGTATATCTTGCGAGTGGCCGGGTAAGTATGCCGATCGACCGGGTATAGGAAGTAGCTGGAAACGTCCAGATCCTAGCGATTTAGGGCCCCTTGGTGGACCCACGGTATTCGGAAGAGATTTGGACCGAAAACATTGGCATGAAAACTACGTAGGTAGCTTCCAAAATTTATTGCGAATAGGGGGCATCTATATAACTACCGATATATTGCCGAAGCTTAATAGGCAGATCTTCGCCATAAATTACGCTCTCTATCTATGGTAAAATGCCTGCCTTACACCTAATTTAGTTAGTAGATTACAATCGAAAGGTAGCTTCTATGTAAATAATACGCATCTCTACAGCCCCAGCTTAGAAAAAGATATGCTATTTACGTACCAAGACCTGTCAGCCCGGTAGGTATCCCTGTTCGCAATAACTTTTGGAGGCCACCTCTGTACGCCCACCAAAACAACGTGACGTTAGTGAGGCGTGACTGTACACGAGTTTTATAAAATGACATAACTTTTCCTTATAGTGTATTCATCTAGATGTAAAGTCTAGCATTTTGACATACAAACCAAGTTTTTCTGATTGCGTTGTGGTGAAAGGGCTGATTGCTAGTGACAGCTCGATCTTGACAGGGGCTGTTTTTATCCAGATTTTTCGGTCAGATGAGACTGAGCCTTTTCGGTTGCTCCATTTTCCGGTTCCGTGTCCCAGCTAGTTTCAGCTAGCAGTGTGGCTATACTCATGTACATGGGTTGGAATAGGGAATTAAATAGCATTTTAATAGGAGCTTTTTTCTATGGTTACGTAGTGATTACGTTGTAGTTACGCGGGGATTGTTTAGGGCGGCTACAGTGTAGGCTGTGTTATGCTTTCACCTGACAGGCCTTGTTTTGATGTAGTAGCGCTAGCAAAATGGAACTATGTGTTGTAACTCTGTGAAAATGCATGCGAGTCAAACCTCATGACGTTTCCAGCCCCGTTTTGAAGATACATACAACCCTGCACTCACTTTAACCATGGTATATATCGCTAGACTGTCTAACAGAACAGTATTTAGATGTCTGCGATGAATTTGTGCTACTTCAATCTATCTGCAAGCTTGACGTTACAGCCACGGCAGATAGTTCTATTACACGAGGTTGGGCTATGCTATACTTCCCTAAAGTCGGTATAGGTTAGGTCGAGATATTTTTGAAGTATGCTTTGCAATTGTGTGCAGATTCTATCGGAGAAGAATTGTCATAATTGACTAACCGAAAGAAGAACGATAAACTCCATAATCGATATAGAAGAGCTAAGTATCGATCGGAGTAAAACCAGAAATTATGAGACTATGAGAACAAACAAATGAATCTCTTTATCCTCATACCTTGATTGCTTCCAATCTTGCCATTAGTATTTCTCCTCCCATCACTGATGGCATAACAATACGTTACGTGGCCTATGTGCCCCATGTTGATTACTACATCCTGACGTGGACTTCGGTTAGCTTTCAACTGTCCGTACTTCTCCAGGGAGAGAATTCTTCTTGTTAGCTAATCAAATACACAAAGAAGTCATTGGTGGAATTGCGCCTTCTCTAAGACACTACGCGCGCTGAAGGACCGTGTTCTGACGGTAAGATAGTCAAGACAGTAATAGAATTAAATGCCTGCACTACGCTGCGCAGCTAAATCATCGATGGTACGCAGGCGTTGAGTAGATCGAATAGACAACGAGTGCAGGAACTAGCTAATACTGCGCCGCTGTGGGTATAGAAAAATAAGTAGTTATGACAGCCCGCCTGGTGCTGAAGGGGGCGCAGCTTGAGCTCTAATTTTATCACCGCTAGCTAGGCTATCGAAGCCACTTGTTTTATATACTTTTTCTAGATACTCTGGCTAGTCTGGCTGGTGTTGAGGCTGGTTTTCTAATTAGAGTTTTGGTGTTTACTACGTGATTAGGCACTATCCGGAAACGGAGATTCCTAAAACCTTAGCATGGCCAATTAGCGTAGAGCTGCGACTAGACATTGCAAATAAAGCTATAGTGAGAAAGGGACAAAATACAAAGGCATCCATCATCTAAAAGCCCAAAAGGAACCCTACCCATGGCAATTCACTTCCACTGGCTATGCATACTGCCCAACCTGCTTCTCGCTCCACTCCCAAAAAGGTCCTGCTTTACCATCGGCCACAAGGTCTTTCCGGACCTCTACCGTTCTCCCCCAGGGGATAATCCAATCTCCTTCTTTGAGATTTGCAGCTTTAGGTGCCAGTCCTGCAAAAAGCTCCGTATAGGCACCATATACTGGCGCATGCTGAAAAGGCCTGGAAAGCAAACTCACCAAGGTCCCTGAATGCCGCGTTAACTCAGATTTGAGCAGGCCTGGATGAAGTGTCTGTCGCTTATTAGCTTAAAAGGAAATTATTGGATAACACGGAGAAACAAGCTTACAGTGCTAACCACTCCGCCGTTCTTATATCGTCTCTGATATTCAATCGCATGTAGCACGTTGCCTGCTTTGCTAATGGCGTGTTTTTTCGTTGCCGATTGGTCCTTCTTGAAATCGAGATTGTCCATGTCAACTCCACCCTTCGGTGCCACGACCTCTGCTGCGCTCGAGGACACCCAGATCACTCTGACACTACCAGGTGGACTTGATTTGGCAGTTTGCACGATTATTGGCGTAAGTAATTTTGTGAACAAGAAAGGTGCTAGACAATTCGTGCCGATTTGCAGTTCATATCCTTGCTCTGTCTTACTGCCCTGAGGTGGCATCATGACGCCTGCATTGTTGAAAAGCACATCCAGTCTCTTTTCCTTGCTCAGAAACTCTTCAGCAGAAGCCTTGATTCCTCGTAAATCATTGAGGTCTAGTTTGAGGAAGTGAAGTTGGCCTGTTGCATTTGGATGGCGCTCTTTGATCCAAGATATCGCAGTGTTCGCTTTCTCTGCGGAACGTGCCGCAACGTAAACTGTGCCGTTACGGCTATATAAGAGACGAGAGAGCTCTTTGCCCACACCTGCGGAGGCACCGGTGACGATGTAAACTTTTGATGTGAGGTCGGGAACGTTTTCTTCTGTGAATTTTGGAGCTGGAGGAAAGGCTTGGGAGAGTTGGCTGGCCATTTTCATACTGAGATCCTAAGATACCTCAGTAATGAGCCAATAGTCTTTGGTGTGTACCGGAACAATTGCTCAACATACCTGGGTCTTATTGAGAACTGCTTAACTGGGACTGAGGATATTGAATCGAACGAGGTACGAATAGCTCGGGTAATCAGACCAAATTTGTTCGAAAGTAGAAGTCTTTGTATCAGGTTTACGATCTGAGGTCTCGAGAGATTTATCGAATGCTGAATTGTACACTACATAGCACGTCTCTTCATTATCATCGTTCTCTTTATGGATATCCCCGTGCAAGTCTATTGACTTTCGGCCGGATTTAATCGTCGGCGTTAGTGAAGCCACTAGCAGTTGGACGAGTTGCGCGAAACTACTCCTCGTTTATTTTCCTTGTCAGCAGTGACATCCCGTCTTTAGCAACAGAAGATGGGGGTAGGATCATGTGACGACTCGGATTTAAGGCGCTACTTCCATGGGATTTTTCGTCCGCCGCTTAGTCTACTCAGCATTGGCCTGGCATACTAATTACGTAGTGCATGAAACTTTGCTCGTCGCCATACTTTTAGACAGTATTCGAGACGATATGACAGGGCATAAGGATCAATAACCGTAGTGATTTTCAGAGAATTTATTATAGATATGATGTAGATATGTACATTGATTAGAGCAAAGCAAGACCATGTAAGGAGAGGGCGACTACTTAGTGCAATCGGAGGTAACTCCGTAAAATGATTGCATGACATCTGTCAATGCTATATTCTGCCTTACGGCACCTCATGCCGTAGTGCCTACCCGTGCTGTTGCTGCCTTTACTTCTGTCACTTTGGGTATCGACTCTCTCTCCTTCTCCAGCTTCTCTTGTATGGCTTGATAGTTTCTACTCATAGCATTCCTGGTAAACTCCTCCCCTGTCACCATTGGATACCTCTTTAATGGGCCTTGAATCTTGGCGTTTTTGCATGGCTGGTTGAAGAAAGCAATGCTGTATCGTTCCCCATAGTAGTCGTCTGGCTCGCATGGCGCCTTGACCCGATGAAAGGTCGATTTGAAGCGGTCATCAGACCATGACATGAGCAAGTCGCCGACATTGCATACTATAGAAGTTCAGCGCATTGTTGATATCCAGGCCAAAAACAAACGTACCGATTGCATTATTCTCGACATCAGGTTCGACTTTTGTCCATGCGTCGCCATACCCAAATGAAGTCGAAACTTCCCTTCCTGGACATATCTCAAGGCCCGACTGACCAGCTTTCTGAAACAACAAAGTCAAGAAGTCCCAGTCCGCATGCGCACCGGCCCTGTGATAGACCTGCCCGGCCGATTCTTGCACTTTGGGTGTTTCAAAATAGTGCAGGAGCCGACAAACAGTCTGACACTCTGGTCGGCTGACGTCATGGGCTTTGACAAAGTAGTCGTCTTCAAACTTCAGGCCTCTCGCAAAACACTTCATGAGCTTTTCGCTCACCGCTTGTGCTTGATGCATGAACTCCAAGGCTTGCGTCTGAAAGCCCGGCAATGCCTCCTCATCCAGCCAGCGTCCTTTCTTCCATCAGTTTCGCAAACAAAGTATAACCTTGCAATCGTAACTCACCATTCATGGCCTCTCCAAATTGCATCTGGTACGACTCTTTGCGATCAACGGCTCCTGTCGAGGGTCTTATCTGGGCATTCTTCTCCCATCCAGCGTTATGCTGAGGAGAGAAGGGTACCCTTGACTTTACGTCGTCCGACTGATTGAAGAAGCGTGATGACTGATCAAAGATGCGATCAATAGAGTCACGACTGATTCCATGATCTACAATGCAAAAGAAACCGTGATTTTCTGCGGCATCGACGAGCTCCTTGGTGATCTCATCCACCCGTGAGTCGAAATCGCGAAGCGAAATGGTCGGCACAGGACGATCAATATATTTTGTGGGCGCCATAAGGAAATGCTGATGATGTGAATTGTTCACTATTGATGAGCTGCAGTTTCAAACCTCAGTTCAATGACCTACCATACTTCCTCTTATGTCCTGTCACGTCTTTCAAGATGTATACTCCTCGAGCGGAGATCATCAAACTCGAAATCGCGGTGGTCGATGCGGCCGTTGGGTCCGGCCGCTGTTGGCGGCAAGTGATGGCAGTGTAACGATAAGCATTCAATGTGCATACTTGGGGCGGGTGGGGCATGCGAGACTAGATTGGGTATAGATAAGGCCACCCTCAGTGCCGTCCGCCATCTCGGCCGCCCCCTGCTCCTCGTCCTCGCCATCTCAACATATCGACTCATTGATCCACCTGCTGCTACTACGTCCTGTATGTGCATGCTATTGCCACGTGATGCTAACAATTGGGTCTTTGATGTCTCGGAACGCTCTCGAACTCAACTACCAACCTGATATCGACTGTTCTCAATATCCATGGACGACAGTAACTCTCTCAAAGGGCAAAGAGCCCGCTTGACATGCACAGAATGCTATAGGAGGAAGATCAAGTGCGATAAGAATGTGCCTTGCAGTACCTGCATCAAAAGGTTAGCACCTCTCTTCACGTTGTAGCCTGCGATGTATAAGCCTGCGGCTGAGCTAGCAGGCTGAGACCATCTACTATGATTATTTTGCCTGGAGGTCTCTGTACAAATTAACCGAATTTATCGAAGCTCCTTCTGCAACGTATGATGCTAAGTCACCACTAGAGGTTACGCAAGCTTTTGTGCAAGAGAGGATGCTTCAACTATACCATCGGTGCCCCCTCCTGCTTACCAAGCCCAAAGAGTTCCAACAGCATCCGACGGTTTCATGCGCACAATTTTAGAACGTGTAGACGAGCTTGAATCCAAGCTGGGGGGACGACACGATGCACGTTTGAGCGAAGTGCCCTTTCCGCATCCCGAAGATGCTTCAACGAGCCCACCGCATGACCATGAACCGACTTCTCCTCTACAAGAAAACACGGCCGATGTACCACCCGAGGCTGGCGATACGGCTACTGTCCTGGAGTTTCTAGCATGGGGTCGCAAGAAAGATGCGCAATACGGGTCATCGGCAGAGCACAACAGTGGGCCGAGACGGTTCAGTGTAGGGCAAGATGACCCAACGACCGCATCCAACACCATGACCGAGGCTAGCAGAGACGCACAGCTCGATATTCTAGAAGCTCTTCTTCCTAGCAAGGATCATCTTTTACAGCTTGTTGAATACCACGACAGCTCTATCCTCTGGTACCATTGCTCCTACTCGTCAACAATATTCAATCATGATTTGGATCTATTTTTCACTGAGTACGAAAGCAATGTACACAGCGAGAATCTGAACCTACAGTGGCTAGGACTTCTGTTTTCCATAATTACTGGAAGCATCACATGTGCGCCACCCTCTGCATACCGGTTATGGGGATTCTCGTCAGCCGAAAAGACAGCCTTGTCAAAAAGATGGTACGAAGCAAGTGTGACATGTCTTAACATTGCATGTTATATTGAGAACCATACCATCTATTCTGTACAAACAATCGCCACTCTGACAATCGCGGCTCACGTTTTGGGCAAATCAAATAGCCAATCGGTCTTGCTTGCCTCAGCTGGACGTATTGCGCAAAGCCTAGGTCTGCACCGCCTTGGCCCTGAGGGCACACCTACTACTGTTTCCCAACAGCAACTTCGCCACCGCGAAATGGGACGAAGAGTCTTCAACCAGCTCTGTACGCAAGACTGGTTTCAGATTCCATTTTCCGAATCTTATTCACTCAACCCCCGCTTCTGTCAGAACGCAAAACTCTTGAATTGCAATGACGACGACATGATACCTCAGCCTTTGTCTGTACCAACCCGAGCAAGCTATTGTAGTTACCGTTATGACATTGCTAAACTTATGCCACAACTTCTGGATGCTATGGCTGACTGCAACACGCTATTTACAAAGTACGAAAAAGTACTGCAGTATGACGAGAAAATGCGCAAGCTTGCCACGGCCTGTATGCCGACTTTTCTATCGACCAACGCTCCCGTATCCAACGACTGGCCGATCCATGTAGGGTGGGCTCGACGGTCTTTGGCCATCTGCGCTTCACACAAGATCATCATGATACATCGAAAATTCCTGGGACTTTCGTTTACTAACTCAGCCTTTTCGTTTACCCGCCGCACATGCATTGCAGCGTCGAAGACCATCCTGAAAGAAGCATTATCGGAAAATGATGAGCGAGCCCCTGTTTTATGGATTGAGCAGGCGTTCTCGATTGCGGCAGGCATCATTCTCAGCCTCGATGCGTTGCATCGAAGCGCAGACGAAAAAGAAGTCGAGGAACACATGAAGCTTGTTGCGGACACAATCGAATACTTGAAAGGTTTCGACGAGAGCAAGATCGCTTCACGTGGTATTCATTTACTTTCAGCGTTGCAAAGGGAGATCCGAGAAGGGGGAACGATTGGAAGTAGAAAGCGCCCGCGAGCAGTAGAGTCCAGTGATGCTGCTTGTTCATCGAGGAAGCGGGCCCGCATGTTGGATGTGGAAAGTTTCATCAGCAATATGTCGCAACATCTTCAAGTGACTATCCCCACCTCTGCACCAACAACGCAAGTTCCCGACTATGTGGGGGATGCTTCATGGGACTCTTTTATGAATATGTTGCCGCCACAAACGGTTTTGGGAGGGCACAGTCTTTTTGATGATTTGCTTTCATTTCGGTTCTGAGTCTATACATATTTCAACGACATGTGGTTTCTCGCACCCACGCCGCTTCTTTGCCGTATGCCTGCTATCGAATCCCTTGCCTGATCCATGATTATACATTCGTCAATGTGCAATAAACGTCCCTTGCTGACAAGGACCTGGCCGTCCACAATCACAGTGTCGACATCTGCTCCAGAAGAGTGAACAAGCACCGTGACTGGATCCATACCACCAGTGCTCTGCTCAGACGCGACCCATGGGATGTTTGATACGCCTCTCGGTTCAACAACGACAACATCCGCCTTCTTCCCCACCTCTAAACTACCAATCTCTTTATCCAACCCTAATGCTTTAGCACCGTTTATCGTAGCAAATTCCAAGACATCGTATGCACTCAGCACACCAGCCTGTTGCCTCACCCCACCATGTAGTATCGCCGCGAGATGCATCTCCCGGAACATGTCATACGTGTTGTTGCAAGGCGCGCCATCTGTTCCCAGTGCTACATTGACGCCGCTCGCAACCATATCCGGTATGCTCGCGACTCCAGACCCAAGCTTCAGATTGCTCGTCGGATTGTGCGAGACAGTACTGTTGCTCTCACGTAATACGTCGTAATCGCCAGCTGCTGGATCCAGGTGTACGCAATGTGCAAATACGCTTTTCGGGCCTGTTAGCGAGGCATCGCGGCAGAACTGCATGGGACTGCATTGGTAGTATTCGTGGTAAATAGGAAGGTCCTTGGGCGCTTCTGCGCAGTGCATGGTAACGCCGATATTTTGCGATCGCGCTGTCTCGCCTATTGAGGCGTGTGCGGCCATTGGAGAGCCTCGAGGTGTTCCGGCGGCGAACCACACATGTAAACGGTCGTTGCAGGTGCTGTGGTGTTTCTTGTGGGCTGAAAGGGCGGCAGCTACAGACATGGAGTCGACGTCACGGTCTCTTGCATCCTTCATGTTGAGATTTGCATTCGTTTCAGCGACTTTGATCAGTTTTCCCTTGGTAGCCCGTCAGTTGTTGTCCAGTGACTTTGGTCATTTTCCCTCTAAACTCACTAGGCAAGCTCGTATGCCGGTCTCTTGTACAGCTCGAACTACGTTTTCAAGCCCGCTTCTGTGCGTGAGCATGGCTTCGAGGAAACATGTTGTTCCCGTCTTGAGCATTTCTGCTATCGTCAACATGGACGCTGCGTAGCCATCGTCTTCGGCATAGTTTGCTTCTAACGGCCATACCGCGTCGCACAGCCAGTTGTGAAGTGGAAGGTCTTCGGCAAGGCCCCGTAATAATGACTGTGCTAGATGTGCGTGTGTGTTGATCAGGCCAGGAATAACGATTTTGTTCGTACAATCTATGATTTCGAGATCTGGGTTATTTTCCGATTGCACTTGGTTCAAGAGTTCTGCGGTCTTTCCAATCAATGAGATGCGACCGTTTTCGATGAGCAGAGCGCCGTCCAGGATGACTTCCCGGCTCTTGTTGACAGTGATGATAGTCGCGTGGACCAATAGTCGTCTAGGAGCTGCACTTATTGAACTCATCGCTCCCTTGGCAAGAGTTGAGGCCTCTTAGGAGTATTGTGACGTCTGCGGTAAAGTCAGGTGTTAAACATAGCCAGCCTTCTTCCTTGAGATGTCAATGTATAAGAATTGGAATATGAATAGAGCCATCAAGTACAAGCGGGGTCTGAAACTAAATAGCACGTGCCTTTAGTTAGCCAGTCAATTTCTGTACAAATAAAGATCAGCTATCCTCTTAACTATGCGTACAGTGTTGTGTATACTACCAATCACTGCTTGCGGCAGCTCGCCTAAAAGTGACAAGGGACGGCCGACGCTAACATGATAGCATCCCCTTATCGTCATACTGTCTACCCTACTTCACAGGACATGCCGACAAAGTTATTGTGCTCATTGATCATTATTCTACCTCTGATAGCGGGTCTCCAGTGGATTGGCTATCGCGGGATTCTGCGAACTCGCGAGCGCCTATCATAGGAAACGCGCGCCGTCGGCTTAGCACCGCGAAATGGCAATGACAGGGACCATGTTGTATATACATAGAGCGCGGTTGCGTCTATGGACTTACGCAAAGCTACTTGAGATCGTAGCTGACGCTTCAATCTGAACTGATAGCAGCCATGGCCATGGAACCTCCAAGTGAGATGGAGCAAAAGTCAAAGTACGCCGAAGAGACAGGACCATATTCACCCGTAACCAGTCACGAAGTAGGCACTGTAACGACAAAAGGGCAAGGCACACTTGCAGAGCTCAAATACTCGTTTATGACGAAAGATGGTTGGATCGGTAACTACGTGAGTTTATCTTTTAGAAATGTTACTCAGGATATCAAATGCTAACAACACCGAGGACTACGTCTACCTAATCACCCCAAACATCTGGCCTTTGAACAGAAAATACAAAAATTACAAAGCCCCCTTCTACGGCCTAAACGACCGCGTACCCATCCTCCTAACCCTCCTTCTCGGCCTCCAACACGCCCTCACCATGATCGGCTCCATCGTCTCCCCACCCCTCGCCATCGCCTCCGGCGCCTTCAACTTCGACCCAGAAATGACCACCTACCTCGTCTCCACCGCCTTCATCACTACAGGCCTCGCAACCGCCCTCCAAGTAACCCGGCTCCACATCCTGAAAACCCCCTTCTTCATCGGCACCGGCCTCCTCAGCGTCGTCGGCCCAACCTTCGACATCCTCCCCATCGTCTTCAACTACGCCGCTCTCCGCTACAAATCCGGTACTTGCCCTGTCCTCCCGGACGGAACACAAGCACCGTGCCCAGACGCCTGGGGCGCATGCCTAGGCACCATGCTCTGCTGCGTCTGGATCCAAATAGCTATGGCCTTCGTACCCCCCAAGCTTCTCAATAGGATCTTCCCAAAACTCATCACGGGGTCCCTACTTACGCTAATCGGCGTGTACCTCGTTGGCAACGGACTGCAGAACTGGGGCGGGTCATCGAATTGCCATGGTGGAGAGGGATTCTACGCGCTTTGTCCTGATGTTTCTGCGCCGAGGCCCTTGGTTTGGGGGCATCCGAAGTTGATCGGGCTGGGGTTTAGCGTGTTTGCTACGATTGTCTTAGTAGAAGCTGTGGGTGCGCCGCTCATGCGCTCCGCTTCTGTAGTCATCGGGTTGGCGGTTGGCTGCGCCGTGTCGGGCGCAACGGGATACTGGTCTACGGAGCAGCTGGAGCGAGCGCCTGGCGGCACCTTTCTCTGGGTACATACGTTCAAGTTGTCTGTCGATGGAGCCCTGGTCTTACCCATGATTATCATGTTTGCGTGTCAGGCTGTGTCGTGCATCCCGGATATCCTGGCTACGGCCGAGCTATCTGATGTGGATATCGAGGGTACCGTGTTCAACAGCAGAGTCCAGGGCGGTATCTTGTGCGATGGCATTGGCAGTTTCCTCAGTGCACTTGCGACCGGTCCACCGATGGTCAGCCAAGCCGGCAACAATGGCGTGATTGTGCTTACGGGCTGTACGTCTCGTCGAGCGGGTTGGGCAGCAAGTGGGTTTCTGGTTCTCATGGGAATCGTTGCTAAATTTGGGGCTGTCTTTGCTTCTATGCCTCCTTCGGTGCTCGGTGGTATGCAGGTCTTTCTCTACAGCACCATTGCCGTAGCGGGCATTCGCGTCCTCGCACTCATCTCGTGGACACGTCGCGACCGCTTCATTCTCGCCGTCGCACTGGGTATCGGATTTATGGATATCTGTCAACCTGACTGGTTTGCGCAGGTTCTGGCGTACAGCGGGCCAAACGAGAACTTGATCGGGTTCGAGCAAGGAATCAATCTTGCGGTTGAAACGCCATTTGTCATTGCTGCTATTGTAGGCGTAATCCTAAACGCAGTACTTCCGAAAGATCAAAGTGCTGTACCGATCTTGGCATATGGCAACGAACGAAGGGCGCCCTAGGATTACCATGCGTGAAGATTAGTTCGATCCTGATAGCTTCAGCTTCCGATATCGTCATGTAACAATTTACATTTTGGCATTACGGAATCTCAGGCCCGAAATCTCTTGGTATAAGCCAGCAAAGCAGCGTTGTCCCTGCCAAAGAGCCATCGACGGATAGATCAGTTTCGCTACTTAGTAGCCTCACCAAGTTCCGGGGTCGCCAAGCTTTTCCAATCCCGAGAGACATTCGAACACTACTGTATACGTACTCCCTTACGTACAGCAATGAGGACGTTGGGGGCACATGCATCTTCACCTCCAAGCGCCCAGTTGCAGCCCCCGTCGTAAAGCAAGCAAGCACCGCCCATCACTCCTCATACCGGAAACCTATGCATAACCACCAATATAACATTCTCGTACTCCCACATCACGTACGAAGTCACTATACTAGCGGCCTCAAATCCAACCACCGTCACTCCGTCATCCCCACCCCATGATGCTCCCCCCCATGTCTAACCCACATCTTGTGCTCCCCACCTCAAGCGGATATCTCCGGGCCCCATCCATTCGCCTTTTCCCACTTATACACGAGTAAAAGAGTGGGTGGGGTACGCACATCGTATACACGCACTTACTCGCATACATACTCCGTAACTACAAAGAAAAGTCTCAAAAAAAAAACGAGCGATTTTTTTAAAACGCACCGGGGATGCACCAACACACGATAAATGACACCCCCCTCCCTCCTATTCCCGCGGCTTACATATTTAGTTAGTCCCCATGGGAACAAAGAAAAAGCGAAAGAAACCCAAAAAAGAAAGGCCGATAACCGCGCTAAATTATGTTTGAAGCAAAACATGTGCGCATCAAGTTTAGCAAGAAAATTGCGTAGTTAGTCAGATAAGAAGCGCGATCGGTGAGGCGGTGGGTTGGGTTGGGTTTATCCCTCAAAGGGAAGGGGAGAGAGAGACAGACGGCGGGGGTAATCCCCTCCCCCTTCGCTATACCGAAGAGTCCGAATAGCGAAGGAAGATCCACTCTTTTTTCCCTCTCTCTCTCTCTCTCTCTTTTTCTCTTCGGTCGCCGGACTTTCTTTTCTTGCAAGGAATGGGGGAAAGAGAAAGAAGAAGAAAAATATATTATCGGGGTAGGCTGTAGTAAGTAGATTACGGGCCGAAACGTTACACAAGGTGACGTAGGAGACTTAAGTAGAGAAGGAAGAAGATGATGATGAAGAAGCGCCGGAAATG